TTCCCTTTCACTGTCTCTTTCTGTCTGTCTCTGGCGAGCACACAGACAATAATATGGTAAAAACCTAAAAAAACAAACAAAAACCTACCTTTGCTCAGTTGTAGGGACTAGAGAAGTTACAATATTGGGAAAGTATGAAAGTAAGGAATTGTTCTTAAAAGGTTAATAGATGCTTTAAGTTGATTAATGCTGGATTGTTTGTGAACTATTTATACTTGTTTTACACCTAATTCTTTAGTAAATATTCCAGACATCTCTTGAATTGTTAATAAAAAGTTTATGTATACTTGACTAACCTGGAATGAAGACAAGTTTTGTTTTCTAGGGCAGGGAGCGGATAGAGTTGTTACATTTTTAAAAGAGAAGTGAAACAGGAAGAGCCTCTGAAAGAGAAATTACCCTGATCTTTCAAACTATAACAGCACAAAATATATTTTGGAGGATTTTCTAGGTGTCTGTTTCACAAGGGAATGGAAAGTTTTAAAGAAAAATTATAACAAATGTGAGAACAGAAATAAGAGTAGGAGCTACCTACTGTTATTTGTGTGTGTATGTGTACGTGTGTATAGGTGGATGTGCAAGGATGAAGGGGGCATTTAATTAAATCAGGACCTATTACTTTGTGTGCGTGTGTATACATGTGTGCACAGGCGTGTGTATGCAAAGGCTAAGAGGACATATATTTAAGCCACAACCTGAAAATGATAGGGAAAATTCAGTACAAATGTTTCTCTACCCCTTGCTCTCCTAGGTTCGGAGTATACTGTCCTAAGCACAAGGTTTACTGTGGAGTGCGTATTGGCAAGGCAGACATATTCCTCATGTGGGTGGAGTCTGTATAATTTAAAGCAATAGTTATGAAACAAGGGTCATTCTTGCCATTTGGCAATGTTTGGGCATGGTGCTACCTGCATCTAGTGGGTAGAAGCCGAGATGCTGCTAAACACCCTGCAATGCACAGCACAGTCCCACACAATAACACATTATCTGGTATAAATGTCGGTAGTTCAGACGTTGAGCAACTGATTTAAAGTGTACAGGTATTTCAGATGACTGAGCTGGAGTACTTTGCTAGGTAAGGTTATTTTGTCAGCAAACAACAGAAATGTGTTTTGTTTAAGTCAGTGAAAAAAATAAAAAGAATGTAGTAGTTATTAGGATGAATCACATAATCAGAGGACAATCTAAACAACCAAACCAGAAAGGATAGGAACCAACTACCTTCTAGGATCTCAATTGGAAGAATTTTTGGATTTTCCTCCTAGAGTGGGTTTCTCAACCTGGGATTTCTCAACATTAGCACTATTGCCATTTTAGATTAGGTCATTCTTGAGAAGGGCTATTGTGTATACTGTAGGATGTTTAATGCCTCCAGCTATTGGCAAATATCCCCTGAAGGACAAAATTGCTCCTGGTCTAAAACCACAGCTTTAGGAAGATGTGCTGTCTAACTCTCAGTCTCTGATCTTTCCTATCAAATTTCAAATTCCCAGGAGACAGAATCTGTGTGGCCCAGTTCTGTCTATCCGTGGATCAATTAGCAATGGC